TTGTTGACTGTCTTACCCGTGGCCAAGATTCGAGCGGTCATACGTCGTGTGATCATGTCAGCTAGGTGACAGCGATCGATTGGGGCAGTTGGTCAGTAACCATGACCTTCGCAAGCAGCGGCGATGCCTTTGTGAGACTGCACGATCAGATCGGTTGATCCAGGGTCGTCGTCGTCACTACTGGCGCAATGAGGAATGGATGGCAGGCCCTGCCTTTGGCCACGAAAAGCAAGAGGGATTACAGGTTGCTTCGGTGAAGGTCCAGCAGGGCGTAGCTTCTCCCACCAACGCCGCGTTCAAGAGCGCGGTGAGGGGGGGGGTCGTCTCACGATCGGTGGGGCAGAGAGTGCAGCATGTTTGGCAGTGCATCAAGACATCTAGCGCGAGTAGCATCGCATGGAACGGGTGAGGGGCAAGTTCAGCATCGCTGGTCGGTGCACTGTTCGCTTCTCAGGTGCCGTCGCCCGTCCTGCTGTCTCCAAGGCTTCCCTGGTGTCGTTTGGACTGGAGTCCGCCAGAGGCCGTCTCGGGGTGTCCAGAAATCAGGGCCCGAACTGCCGGAACTTTGCAAATCTCGGCGGCGAGCGAGGGGGGAGGTGAGAAGGAGATGGCTTTCTCAGAAGGCTCGGAAGTCCCCTGGCCTTCCGAGAAGTTTTCTAAGCGTTCCTGGAAGACGCAGAAAACCTCTCAGAAGGCGCGAGGGCTTCTGAGAAGTCCCGCCGCCTTCTGAGAAGGCCTTCTCCTTCTCAATTCTCCCCCTCCAGTGCCTCAGACAACAATAGCGAAAACTCATGCCACATTCATGTGTCATCGCCTTCCCGTGGCCCCAATGTTCAAGGTTGGCGGTGGCTCTGATGAGTTGGCACTTCGACCGCAGTCTCCCCCGCGCGTGCCAACTTTGGGTTTGGGAGGGAGGGCGATTGTTCTTTGATTGTTTGCCTCTACGGTCGGACCGAGGTATAAGATCGAGGCCGGTTCGGGAGGGTACCCTCATGTTCAAAGCCCGTTATGGCCGCGCATAAACAAATGCGCTCTGGAGGCTCGGGCAAGAGGAGGAGGGGGAGGGTTGTGGGGGCGGGAGGCGGAATCTGGCGCCCTCCTCTGCTGCGCAGGTGCCCGCCGTCTTGCCCCGCGCGTCCTCTGCCCCCTCCTCTGCCCACGCTTACGGCGCCCTCCGGCAGCACCGCTCCTCTGCCACCGCGCGCTCCGTCCTCCGAGTCCGCCCGGCTGGGGTCCTTTACCGGCCTCAAACTCATCCCTATCCCTAATATTGACACGCCCAAAGGCGATGGCAATCCTGGGGATGCGCCCTCAAAAGGTAAGGGAATCCCTGAGATCGGCACCGTGACGGGGAGATGCCCAGCATCGGGATAGGGACATGTTCCAGGCTGGTACGGCCTGGCCCCGGGGCCAGCACGAGGACCGGTCTCCGCAGGGATCTTCGGATGTCTTCGTAGGCCCCTGCAGGTCTGCCCGCCCCGGGGCCAGCACGAGGACTGGTCTCCGCAGGGATCTTCGGATGTCTTCGTAGGCCCCTGCAGGTCTGCCCGCCCCGGGGCCAGCACGAGGATCGGTCTCCGCAGGGATCTTCGGATGTCTTCGTGGGCCCCTGCAGGTCCGCCCGCCTCGGGGCGGCGCTCCAGCAGCTGGGCCTCGCCCAGGGCGTCCAGGGGGGGTGCCCGAGCCGTCCCGAGCGGCCGCCCGCCCCACAGGCCCGAGTCGTGACCCGAAGGCCAAGGGTGGGTTGGCTGGCAGCGCGTGGGCAGAGCCAAACGCGTGGCCGCTCCTCCTCCTCCTTCTCCTCCTCCTCCTCCTTCTCCTCCTCCTCCTCCTCCTCCTCCTCCTTGTCCTCCTCCTTGTCCTCCTCCTCGTCCTCCTCGTGGCCAGAGCCAGACGCGTGGTGCGGGACCAGCGTCCCTCCGGGGCGAGAGGCCCTCGGTGCGCGGCCTCTGGAGGGCGCGGCGGGGCCGAGCCCGGGCGCGCGGGCCGCTGCCGTCGCAGCGCGCGCGGCGATCTGGGGGGCCCCGTGGGCCCGCGCCAGAGGCCACTTCGGCGAGAGGTCACTCCTGCGTGTAGTCGAATCATCAGCTGCGCAGGGTGGCTTTGGTTCAGCGTCGCCCCAACACCCTACATAATACTATGTGTGCGTCCCCCCCCCCCAGGGGCGACGCGCTCACCGAGAAATCTTGTAGTCGATGCGTCGTGGCGGGCGCTTTCTGGCCACACCGCTCGGGAAACGATATACTACAAGATGGGTACACTATATGTGGGGGTCGGACGCGCGCCTCCAAGGAGGACGCGCAGTCCTAGTATGTCTTTGTGCGTCCCATTGGTCCAGCGTGACTCTGGCGTTCCCTTCGCCAGAGTGACCTTTGGCCCCGCCGTCCCCGACTCGATTCTCGACCAGGGCGTCTGCGCCTGCCTCGGCCCGTTCTCGCGCCCGCCGACTTGGGAAGAGTAGCCGCACGGGGTGCTGCGATTCTCCCCCTGAGATCCTGCTGGTGCTGCTGATGATGCTGCCGATGATGCTGCTGCTGATGCTGATGATGATGTTGATGCTGCCGATGATGATGATGATGCTGCTGCTGCTGATGATGATGATGATGGTGGTGATGAAGATGATGATTATGATGATGTTGTTGATGATGATGGTCATGATGCTGATAATTCTGACGATGCTGATGATCATGATGCTGATGATGCTGCTGATGATGATTCTGATGATGATCATGATGATGATGCTGATGCTGATGCTGATAACGCCGATGATGATGCTGATACTGCTGATGCTGATGCTGCTGCTGATGATGATGATGATGCTGATGCTGCTGCTGCTGATGAGGATGATGATGATGATCATGCAGATAAACATCACGATGCTGATGCTGATGCTGATGGTGATGACTGACCATGATGATGATGATGATGATGATGATGATGATGATGATGATGCTGATGATGCTGATGATGCTGATGATGATGATGATGATGATGGTGATGCTGGTGATGCTGATGATGATGATGATGATGCTGCTGATGATGGTGGTGGTGGTGGCCGTGATAACGATAATGCTGATGCTGCTGCTGATGGTGATGAAAATGGTGAGGGTGATAGGAGATGAAGAGGATCATGAGGGTGATGATGATGGTGTTGAGGGGGATGAGGAGGAGGATGAGGAGGAGGAGGAGGACTAGGAGGAGGAGAAGGAGGAGGAGGAGAGGGGAGGGAGGAGGGAGGAGGGGGAAGGAGGAGAGGTAGGTAGGGGGAAGGAGGCAGGAGGGGTTGATAAGGGAGGGGGAAGAAGAGGACAGATGAGGGGAGGAGGGAATACGAGGGAAGATGATGCTGATGACGACGACGATGATCTTGATGATGATGACGATGATGATGTTGATGATGATGGTGATGATTATCATGATGCTGATGATGGTGATGGTGATGATGATGGTGATGATGCTAATGATCAGGAGGGGGAGGAGGAGGGGAGGAAAGGGACGATGATGAGGCGGAGGTTGAGGAGGAGTCGATACAGTCGCCAGCCTTTCGACGGGGACAGAGGTGTCGGAGCCGCTGGACACGCACATTAGCTACGAGCGGCTCTGGGCCGAGCTGATAGACCTGTTGCAGTATCCGCAGTCGACGGTGGCCCGATCGCATATCTTTGTTCGTCGTTGTCGGCTCGAGGATTCAGTAGTTCATGTTGTGTGTTCCCCCTCCTCCTTCTCCTCCTCCTCTATGTACGGTTATAGATACACATGCGTACATCCATACGTCGCACACTCACGTGTATGTATGTATGTATGCATGCATGCATGCATGCATGCATGCAGATCTGTAGGCATGCACGTATGTATGTATGCATGCATGCATGCATGTGTGTATACATGTGTGACTATTGCATTGTATGTAATGTAAAGTGCGTAATGTATGCAACGTAGATACTCTATGTATGGGTGCATGTATGTAGGCATGTATGCACGCACGCATATATTTATGTACGTAGGTGTGTGTATGTGTGGACGGACGGATGACTATATTGATGCATGCCTGTGTATACATAGCTATATACATGCACAAATCTGTATCTGTATATACGAAATTATGTCTCAATATTGTACTTTTGTATACACATATAAATTCATGCATGAACCTGTGCATGCACATACGTATGTATATAGATACCTATATATGCATGCATGCATGCATATATATATACATATATAGATACACACGCACATACATATATGCATGTATGCGTTATATGCAATTATACACGTACGTATGTGTTTATATGCGTGCGCATGTATGCATGCATGTATGCACATACGTATATTTGTTTATCTGTATGCATGTATTCATTTATGCATGTATGTATGTACGTATGTATGTATATATATACATATATATAAAGATATCTATATGTATGCATGTGAGTGTATGCATGGGTGCATATCTGTACTCGTGTATGTATGCATGCATGCATGCACGCACGCATGCATGTATGTATGTATGTATGCATGCATGCATGCATGCATTTATGTATGTATGTACGTACGTACGTACGTATGTATGTATGTATGTATGTATGTGTGTATATGTATATGTATGTATGCATGCATGCATGCATGCGCGCATGTAGGCAGGTGGGTCGGTAGGTCGGTAGGTCGGTAGGTAGGTAGGTAGGCATGCATGCATGGATGTGTGGGTGCATATATATACATACATGTTCATTTTTATCTTATACATTCGTTTTTTTTTTTTTTTTTTTTTTTTTTTTTTTTTTTTTTTTTTTTTTTTTTTTTTTTTTTTTTTTTTTTTTTTTTTATCTCTCTCTCTCTATATATATATGTTTATCGATATCGTGGTGCAGGGTCGGGGGTCTTCGCCCAGCTGCCCCTGTGTCGTGTCGCCATGGTTGCTCCGGGCTCCCCAGTGACCCTCTCCAGCGGCCCGAGACATGCCCAGACGGCTTGAAGTGGCATCAAAGAGACACCAGAAGACTTCAAGATGTCCCGCGTGGCTTCCGGACGGCCCCAGATAGATCCAAGAAGGCCCAAGAGGACTCGACGACCAGAGGGTCCCAAGAGGCAAAAAACACTGGATTTCTTTACGTTTTTCCAGTGTTTTTGGGGTTCTCGTCTTATCGAGCTTCCGACGCTCCGCGACGTCCCAAGAGGCCGCCCAGACCGCCCCAACACAGCCCAAGAGACCCCCCAGAGTGATCCATAAGCGCTTTGCGTTTGAGTTGGAGGGTAGGGGTAGGGGTAGGGGTCAAGCTAGCCAGCTCGGGCGAGTCAAGCATGGCATGCCCATTCCCACCCGCCCTCCCACAGCATAAGAAACAGTGATGGCACAACGGACAGGCTGCTGTCTTCCCCCTTGCCGTACCCCTAAACCTCCCAAATCCGTTCCGAAGGAAGCCTTCGGACTCCTCCCGGGTCCAAACGCACAACTTTTTAGAGTCGCGTCCAGCCGTGACTTCGAGGAGGACCCCGAGGGCCAGAAAGCTTCGAACACCGATTCTCGAGGCAACGGACAGGCTGCTGTCTTCCCCCTCGCCGTACCCCCAAACCCAGATCCAGTCCGAAGGAAGCCTTCGGACCCCTCCCGGGTCCAAACGCACCATTTTTTCGAGTCGCGTCCAGCCGTGACTTAGAAGAGGACCCCGAGGGCCAGAAAGATTGGAACACCGATGCTCGAGGCGCAACGTTCGAGCACCTCATTGAAACGCTCCCCCTCGGCGCGCCGCCGACCATGACCTGTGGGCGGCGCCGGCGCCGTGCCGCCGCGACGGGCCCTCCCGGTTCGGGCTTCGAGGCTCCTCGGAAGCTCTCGCGGCTCTCGGGCCCAAATCCCCGACGATAGGATTTTCTCTGTGCTGGCGTTTTTCCGTCGATATCGCACGTGTTTCCCTTGACTTCGCCCTCCAAGGAACGGTTTTTGGCCCCCTGGACCAATAAGAAAATATCCAGGACGCAAAACTGCTCCCGAGGGGTCGAGATCTCAGAAAGGCTTGGGACAAATTTGCCAGCCCAACGGGCCAGAGGCGTGCAAAGATCTCCGGTAACTAGTTAACAATCTTCTAGTTCGCGCGCGCGGGGCGACCCCTGGGGGCCCCCGGACGAAAAGTACCCCGAGCAGGTCCCGGGCCAGCCCAACGGGCCAGAGGCGTGCTAAGATCTCCGGTAACTAGTCAACAATCTTCTAGTTTGCGCGCGCGGGGCGGCCTCTGGGGGCCCCCGGACGAAAAGAACTCCGAGCAGGTCCTGGGCACGTCGGTCCCAGCGATGGTTTTCTTCTTCGTCGCTGACTTCCAGGTCCCAGAGCGCCCCAGGAACGCCCCAAGAGACCCGAGACGCCCCCGAGACGATCCGAGGGGCCCTGAGTCGCCGAAAGATCGTTCCAAGACGCCCAAGATGGCCTCCAGACGGCCGAAGACGCCGCCGAGAAACCACGGGGGGCCTCAGGAGGCCCTCCAAGAGCCTGAACAAGCAAAAACCTCCCAGGCATTCGTCACCCCAGGGCCTCCTGGAACGCCCTGGCGCCCAATGAATTGGCGAGCGAAAAACGTGCGCTGAGCCAAAGCGGGAGCGCAACTTTGAGACAATTTCGCTCGGCACCCAAGCGGGAAGGTCATTTCATTCACTTCGAGCGGGGGGGGAGGGGGGTGTGCCGCGCCCAATTCTTGCCATGCACTTTTGCGGGGTGGACGACAAAAACAGCTGTGTGGGCAGGGAAGATCAGCATGGCATTGTTTCTGGCAAGTAAGGTGGCCCCTCCCGCCTTGGGGTTGCCCCAGAAGTCCGCGCGCGATGTGCGCCGCGCCCCATTCCTGCCACGCATTTCGCATCGTCGACGACAAGACAGGCCATGATGAAAGGAGAAACGGCAACTCTGTATTGTTTATTTACAGTCAGGATGGGAGGGCCCGCAGCCCGCATGGACGTCCGCGCGCGATGTGCGCCGCGTCCCATTCCTGCCACATATTTCGCACCGTCGGCGACAAGGCAAGCCATACTGAGAGGAAACAGCTGAGACTTTGTATGGATTTTTTACAATCAGGATGGGCGGGCCCGGATAGACGGCCGCGCGCGATGTGCGCCGCGTCCCATATGTGCGCCGCGTCCCATTGCTGCCACATATTTCGCACCGTCGGCGACAAGGCAGGCCATGCTGAGAGGAAAAAGCGAAGACTTTGTATTTATTTTTTAAAGTCAGGATGGGCGGGCCCAAATTGACTGCCGCGCGCGATGTGCGCCGCGCCCCACTCCTGCCACTCATTTCGCATCGTCGACGACAATAAAGACGATGTTGAGAAAAAACGGCCACTTTGTATTGATTTTTTACAGTCCGGATGGGAGGTCCCGGATTGGGTCGCTATCGGCCGGAATACGAGGTAGGTGGGGGTATATTATGATAGGGAACAAGGATAGGGGCAGGGGCAGGGGTAGGGGTAGGGGCAGGGGAAGGGGTAGGGCAAGCTAGGTGCGCTCGCGTCATATCTGACGTCCTGCCCCTCCCTCCCATCCCTTACCATGGCGCTGATTTTCTTTATCCGCGGACGCGTGTCGTAGCGGACCTGTGGCTCCGCGCGCGCGTGCGTAGTGGGTGGTGGTGCGCGTGCGTGCGTGCGTGCGTGCGTGTGCGTGGTGGTGGTGGTGGTGGTGGTGGTGGTGGTGGTGGTGGTGGTGGTGGTGGTGGTGGTGGTGGTGCGGCGGCGCGGTGGTGGCGGGCGGATGGGCGCGCGAGAAAGAGGCCCGCGCTGGGGCGAGAACGCCATCCTGAACGACGGAGGCCAAACACCGATCCGAAAATGAGGCCCACGCTGCAGCGGGAACACGATTCGGAACGATTCGGGAGCAGAAATGAGGCCGGCGCCTCAGCGAGAGCAGCATTTTGAAAAAAACAGGCGAAAACCCAACTCCCGGGAATCCTGTGTGAAAAAAACAGTACGCGGGGGGGTCGGCTATTTTCAGGCCGCCATCGGGGGAAGAGGGAGAGTAGTATTCATATTGAGTAATTGTGTAGGGGCAGGGGTAGGGGTAGGGGCAGGGGCAGGGGTAGGGTGGGGGGTGGGGCCAAAACCATTGAAAATGGGGGTGTCCAAATCGTAGGGACCTTTGCATCAATCCTTATCGAGTTCTTGGCTTTTTTAAGGGCTTGTGTACAATGACGATAATGACGACCACGATGACGACGAGGACGACGACGACGACGACGACGACGACGACGACCACGACGACCGAGGACGACGACGACGGATAGGTAGCAACAAACCTTGAACGTTAAAGAACGACGACGGACGACGATTCTGCAGTTTACGGCTCGTGCCGCCCACGCCTCCCCTCCCCTCTCCTCTGGAGCCATCTTGGGCCAAAAAGGGCGGGGTGGTCGTAATGCCATTTTGGCGCCATTGTGGGGCCCTCTTGGGGTCCTCTTGAGGCCTTCTTGGGGCCCCCTTGAGGATCTTTTGGGGGAGTCTTGGGGCCCTCTTGGGGCTCTTTGGGGGTCTGGGAGGCCTCTTGGGGCCGTTTTGGGCACCATGGCAAAAAAAGAGGGGTGGGGAGAAATTCGCTCCCCCCCTCGGGGGCTCTCAAACGGCATCTTGGGGCTCTCCTGGAGCGCTCTTGGGCGCCTCTTGGGCGATCTTGGGGCCGTCTTCGGCCTTCTTGGGCCCCTCTTGGGCCTCTTTTGAACGGTTTTGGCATCTTGGAGGGCGCCGTGGAGGGCTCGAAGGGCACTTGGATCCGTCTTGGGGCTGTCTTGGGGCCTCTACGGGGTATGTCCGAAGCTATCTTGACCCATCTTGAAGTAGCATGGGCCATCTTGGAGGCCATCTTGCGACTTCGAAGCCCTATTGAGCAACCTTGGGCCATCTTGGACGCTCTAATGCCTTGGTACCTCCCCCCCCTTCCTGGCCCAGGGGAGGGGGTAGGGGGAGGGGTTTCAGTGGAAGGGAGAAGAAACAACGCGCTATACCACCTAAGCCCAGAGGGCTGGTGGGATTTCCCACGTTGTCCAATCTTCAGGCGCCGAACCGTCGTTGACGTTGCAGGCGGTTTGGCGCCACAGAATTGGAACATATTTGGGCATTTTAAGTTATTATTGTGTTCGCCAGCGCAGCTCTCGGATAGAGACTTTTGGGCTCTACACACCTTTATATATGTATATCTGCATACCTCTGCACACTATATGTGTGTATGTATGTGTGTATGTATCATATATACCTTTGTGCGTACTTACAGGTATGTATCTACATCTTTGTGTGCGTGTGCGTGTGTGAGGGCTGCCTCCATCCAACGGCCGTCGACCCAAAGCTGACAAACGCAAACACCACTCAGGCTTACATCCGCGTATGGGTGATGATCGATAGGTGGAGAGTACTTCGGGACATCCACGTATGTGCACATGATGTGTGTATGTATGCATGCATCGGACATGTATGTCCGTCTGTACGAATACCTGCTCCATTTCGGGTATGCGGCCAACATGTAAACATACGCATATGATGTACGTGCGTGTGAATGTGTACATGCATATATTTGTATACGCGCATGTGTAAATTCACATGCGTATGCGTAAACATATGCACATGTATACTTGTGAATCTATGCATATATAGACGTACATGTATATTCGTCTGTCCATGTATATGTAAACGCATGCATGTATTCGTATATGTGCTTGTGCGTGTGTATGTGTAGATGCATGCATCTGTACATGGTTTCGTATATGTATTTCCGTATGTCTATGTAATGTAGGTGTTTACGCATACGTATATGTGAATCAACTATGTGTATACGCGCATGTACAGACATATGTATATGTATATGTATATGTAGTTGTTTATGTATATGTTGTTGTGTATATCTTTATGCAGCTTTATATGTATATGTATTTGCGCATGCATAGGTATACGTACTAATATATATTTGTACATGGATTTACAGGTTTATGTTTACGTACATGTATACGTGCAATCATATGCATGTATGTATCTCTACGTCTACACGTATATGGCATATGTTTATGTATAGTTGCATACTAATATACTTGTTTGCAGGTGCATGTATATCCATATGTAAATCGATGTATGTATGTATGTATATATACACATGTATGTATATATATGTAGATGTGTACACGCATATGAATGTGTATGTATGCATGCATGCATGCATGTATGTATATATGCATGCGTATGCATATATGTATGTATGTATGTATGCATATGTGTATGTATGTATGTATGCATGTATGTATGTATGTATACATGTATACATGTATATATGGATGTATGTATGTATGTGCGTATGCATGTGTGTATGTATGTATGTATGTATGCATACATGTATGTATGTATGTATGCATGTATGCATGTATGTATGTATACATGTACGTATGCATGTATGTATGTATGTAGGTAGGTATGTATGTATGTATGTGTGTACATGTACATGTACATGTATATGTATACGTATATGTATATGTATGTATATATATATATATATGTATGTATATGTATATGTATATGTATATGTATATGTATATGTATATGTATATGTATATGTATATATATTTGTATATTTGTGTATGTGCATGTGTATATATATATATGTATACATACATCTAGTCTTCTTCCTATATGTGTATAAGCCCGGGCGGGGGGAAAACCCGTCCCCCCCCAAAACCGGACGGACTCCCGGGATCTTGGGCTTTGGGACCCTCCGGACGGGCCTCGAAGCGGCCACCGGATCCCGCAGGGCGCTTTGCCAAGCCTTCCCAGCACACCTAGGGCGATCACGGGGATCATCGGAGACGTCCCAGAGACCCCCAAGACAGCACAAGAGCGCTCCAAGAGTGACCGACGTGACCTCAAGATGGCCCAAGAGGCCTCCAGGACGGCCCCAAAGAGGCCTCCAAGAGCACTCCCAAGAAGGCCCCCCGAGGCAAGAATCATTGATTTTCTGTTGTTTTTTGGTGAATTTGGGGGTTCTCGTCTTTTCGGCGTCCCGACGCTCCAAGACGGCGGTCTTTGGGCGTCCGAAGCCGCCTGGGAGGCTCCAAAATCGCCCTTCAACCATCCGAAAGGGCTTCCAGGCAGTCCAGGAGAGCCCCAGAACGGCACAACACGGGTCCAAGATTGCCCTCAGAGAGCCCCATGGCGGCCCAAGATGGCCCAAAGACACCCTCCGAAGAATTCCAAATCGTGATTCGGTCGTTCAGGGAGACCGCGGTTGGAGGCAGGGTGGCCCGAGGAAGCCCCCGGAGGCCCCCAGAATACGCCCAGGAGGCCTCCAGAAAGGCCTAAGAAAGCTTCAAACAACTGAGGAACCTCCGCAAAAAAGAGCTGAGGAGGATGGGGAGAATGCGCAGGATATGGCGAAAATGAGGAAGAAGCATGGAGGAATGATAACGAATAACATTATTATAGCGGCGATGCCGGAAAAGGCAACCAGGAGTTATCGCTAAATTGTCGGGTTGTCTTTTCTGCTATTCCGCCTGCATGCCAAATTTCAAGGACCAAGGTGCATGGCGCGAAGCGCCACTGCAGCCTAGTATATATATATGTATGTATGTATGTATGTATGTATGTATGTATGTATGTATGTATGTATGTATGTATGTATGTATGTATGTATATATATCTATATGTAAGCTTGGTTTTCGGGCTCCAGGTTGCTTTTCATCAGCTGCTCCTCGTCGGCAGGCGTCAATGGGTGCCCGGGTCGTTCTGAAGAGTGGCCCGATGCTGGAGAGTTTTCGCCCGAGAGCCTGCCTGGGCCAGACGAGGGGGGGATTGGGAAAGGGGCGGGTGCGAAATTTGCTGCATGCAGCTGTCGGCCCTCGCCGCTAGGCCCGTTCCTCGCTGCATGGCCGCTTTCGGCGCCGGGTAGCGCACGCCCGTTTTCGTCCGTCCCGGCTTCGACGAGGCGGAGAACAAGTACTCGCCCCCTGTCGTGATCGGCGACAATGAGTTCGAGGTCAAGCAGGAGTCCAAGGCGTCGGGCGAGTCCACGCTCAGGCGGGCGGAGAAGTGTGCAGTGGGCAGCACTGGCACACTTTGTTGCTCAGCTTTTTGCTTGTGTTCAAGATCTTCGAACCTCGACTCCTTCTGGCCAGAACCCGCTCGAAATCGGCCCCTGGTCCCCTGCCAGGGTCCGTCCTGGCCGGTTTTTCATCCAGGATCATTTCTCACGTTATGGAAGTCGATTAATGGAGAGGAAACGTGCTGCCAAATACTTCCCAGATGTCTAAAACATGTTTCAAACATGTTTTAAATATGTAAAAGCATGTTTGACACATTCTTCGAACATGTTTTACACATTTTAAACGCAATTTGAACTCAATGATAGGATTGTTAGAGTGTCCATTGTCATGGCATCCACAACTCTTACGGGCCCGAGGCGGGCCCGACGACGCCGAAATTTAGGAAAGACCTCCGGCGCACATTTTTCGAGCCTCGAACTTCGATCCTGGCTGGGCTTGGAGAGGCTGC